TATAAGAAATTAAATCTAAAATAAGATTTACAGATAAGTAAGTATACTCATATTAGATAAAAATGAGTTTAATTGATAATATACTAGAAGACTTTCAAATTGCTTATGTGGATATCAATATATCACTTGGATCTTCCTGATTACTCCCTCCCTACAAGTCTTAAAACTATAAAATCTCTTTTGTTGATCTTCACCTTATCTCTGTAATGACTCAATAGAAGTTTCTCTCCAAATATCTTTACAGGAGGAACTGGAACAAGACAGACATGTGCCAAAAAACAAAACTAATATACTGTACATGACTATCCAATTTTTATTTTTATTTTTATTTTATTTTTATTTTATGATACCAGTATACTCTAGGAATACTGGTTTTTCTTTGATAAAAGAAAAAGCAATAAGCCTCAAAATAGCTTTAGAAATAACTTTAGTTTATCATTATCTTTATTGATTTCAAATATATACCTATATATCAATACTCTGCATAATATATTGTATATTTGTATGCAGTAGTGACCTGCAGGCAATGATGTTAAAAGTTGGAAGAGTTTTCATCTGAACTACTAGTGAAGCAATAAATCACTCTCGAAGTTGCACTTAGAGTCTTATATAAATATAAGACTTTGATGAGTGAGTTAGTTAGAGAATTAGCTTTAGCGTCACATGTATAATGTACAGCTTACAATTGTTTAATAAAGTACACATAACTAGCCTGACAGAGAGTTATAATAAAAAAAAAATATATATTGTATATTTGTAAACCTGTGAATCTATAGCATAGTAATAGTGCCTCCAGGTCACCAAATACTATTTCTGGGTTCAATACCACTGTGAGACAATACCACTCAAAAAGCTGAGATGGTACAATAAGATTACATCCATTCTATGATAATAATTTAGCCACTTCTGATCAAGACCCCGTCCAATCACAGGGCTTTCAAAGATCATAAGATGCTTCAGTCAATTTTAACGTTGAAGCCACTTCGTCACAAGACAAGTTCTATAATCTCCTATAGATAGGTTAAAGATCTGCTAAGCTGTGAAAATTTTGGGAATATTAATGGAGCTTAGGTACATTAGTTAGAAGCAGATCTCTATCAATCAAAATCTGTCCAAGACTCTATGTGATCCTCTCATAGGCAGGTCATAATAGGTTATGTAAAAAGGATTTTTGGTGGAATGAGATAATATTTAAGACTTCACATGGGCACTCCGTAGGTATACTGTAATAGGTATTGTAAAAAGAATATCAAGTAGGACTAGATACAAAAAGGGGTCCTGTATCCTGATCCAAAGGTGCAAATACCGGGAAAAGGTATAGACATAGAAAGGTGGATAGTAGGACTTTCTCTGGCAACAAGTCACATAAGTGTTAACAATGGCTTTAGGGCTACTTGTCACAGATGTGGATTTATCACTTAAAAATGGTTTGTAGAGTCACTAGTAAAGAAATGTATATAAGTTGGATAAAAAATGTAGTATAGCACTATGTAAATATATTCACAGTACTCCTGTAACTTTACTATAATAAATTGGCTTTGTTTATCCTTAAAAAAAAAAAAAATACTGTATATTTGTAATTTGGAAATCAATAAAGTTAGCTATGAACTTGTCAAAAAAAAAAATAAATAAATTTTTAATAAAATTTTTATTTTCAAGTTTTTTTTTTAAATCTTTTATATAAATTTGATTTTAATAAAATTATTTTAATTAAAATATTCCTTAATTTATTTATCTTATAATATTTAAACTTTTTTATTTTATTATTTTTTTATATTTTATATTTTAATTCTTTTTAAATATAATTAAAAATTATTTTTAAGATTTTTAAGATTTATTTCTTTATTTTTGAATTATAGTACAAAAATTTTTTATTTTTGTATAAAATTGTTTTTTATTAGTTTTATATAAAAATTTTATATTTTTTAATTATTATTTATTACTAATTATATATTTATCTCATTGATTATGATTGTTTTTTTTATCTCTTATTGAAATTTTCTTAATATTATTTCAAAATTTTTATTATTTCATTTATTATAATTTTGTAAACTAATATTTTATTAAATATTCAATAATTTATTTTGTTTTCAAATAATAATATTTTTATTTATTTATAAAAATTTATTAGCAATGGTTTAATTAAAAAAATAAAATTCCAATAAAAATATTTTTAAATATACAATATTATTTTTGATTTATTTTTATATAAGATCACATAAATATTATTAGTAATTTTTAATTTATTTATTATTATTTTTTTTTGAATACTTATAATTAGACTAGATTGTTAGTTTATTAATCAATTGAAAACATATGTATATTTTTATTTAAGCAGTATGATATATACTATAGCTAAACTATTATTCTAATCTAACTAACTTGTTATAAGCATAAAAGTTTCTAAGTTCAGTCTTGAGAACAATATTTCATTCTGCAATGTTTTTAAATAAAAACCTTCCTAGTCCACTACATTATTATTAACAAGTTGTTACTATTGTATATCTGATCAAACTACTGTAATACAAAAAACTACAAAAGGATAAGTTAAAAAAAAAGGAAAATGTTAATATCTAAAAATGTCTAAATAGACAACAAGAAAATGAAAAGATAAAAATTGAAAAAAAAAATTTTCAACTTTCTTTAAAATCCGCTTTTCAAGACCTCTTCTCAATAAGAAATATCTGATTAAAATATCATTTCTTTTCCTGTCCATCTAAGGAACTTATCTATTTTTGATCATGATTTTTATTTATATATTTTCTAAAAAGACTTATTGCCTAGTGGAAGCCTTTACTTTCAGGACATACTTGGTTCCAACCTTCTTTGAGCAATAATTTTTTATCTACCTAGGATAAAGAGGTGATTTATGATAGACTTCAGGCTCTTATGTAACCTAGTAAAAACTGAATCATGTTATTTCAGTATAATACCTTTTAATAACTATACCTAGTTAAAAGAATTTTACTGATATATATTTTCTATTATCCAAAAGGCCAGAATTTCCAATAATCCTTTTGCCTTGTAATAGTAAGAGGGTTTCGAAAGTAATAAAGATTCTCATTGATTACAATATCTTTCAACAACTTTTAAAAAAATATATTCTCAATTGTAATCAAAGAGCTAGAGCTTAACTTGAACTAGAGATCGTTTGGTCTTATTATTTGATTGAAATAAAAAGGAGACCTTGGTTTTGAACTTTGTCTGACCAGAATAATAGAAGAGAAAAATCTCAACTTAAAAAAATAGCAACTTTTTTATTACTTGGAAATTTGTTGCTTATATTGTATCTTATTGATCTCATAGAACTTAATTTGTAGATTAACCTAATTGGAGAAGTGAAGTGGACATAAGATACCAATCAACTCTTTCAATCATCAATAATATTATTGAAACACATAAGATGACCAATAAGAACTTGTTTATATTTAACTATTAACGTGTTTTATGTTTACCAATTATATTTTGCAATAGATTATGTTATCTAAAATTCAAGGTCAAACTGAGATAGATAAAATTCTCTAGAAAGCTAAAAAAATTTTGGATGACTATAAGAAGAAAGAAACAGTAAGCAGATATTTTGAAATATGATTTGATATTTGCTACCTCTTACTGCAGATAATCTTTATAGACATGTTTTAATATGAAAGGCTTCGAGTGCTATACTATTAGTTCTTCTTTCTTATAAAACTTATTATCATAGATAGAAAAGATGTTTCTTAACTTTTTTAAGTCACAGGAAGTCAAGTTTTTGTTTGAAAACAAGTATAAACAAGAAAAGGATTTAGAAGTATCTCTTAAAGTAAAATTTCAAATTGATTTAAGAATAGTGTTAAGACTTTATTAACAAAGAAATAAAAAATTTCTTGTGAATATCTTTTTTATGTATGAATAAAGGATTAGTGGAAAGAGTTTTTTATTATTTAATTTATTATATTTATTAATATATTATTATGATAATATATAAATATTTTTTATTATTTGATAATTATTTTTTTTATTTAAAGATATAATGTATATTTATTAATTATAAAGATTTTTATTACATTATTAATAAAATTATTAATAAAATTATTAATAAAAAATTTTTTTTAAATAAAATCATTTCTAATGAAATCAATACAAAAACTTAAATATTTTAACTAATTTTTGAAATTTGTTCTACTAGTTTAAAGATCTATTTGTCAAGTTTCTCTAGTTTTTCATATTTATCTATAATTAATTTGATATCTTTCTTCTTGATTTCTTTTTTTTTTTTTCTTGTAAGAATCATTTGAAGTCTTTGAGAATTTTTTTATTTCTTTATTTCATGTTTCTTATACTTAATCTTTATAGATTAAATATTTTAAAAAGTATTCTATTGTTTCATTTTGTTAATTATATATAATATATTTTACTTACTTATAAAAATCAAATCTTTTTATAAACAGTTTATTTAATTTTAAAAAAACAATTACTGTATTATAATAAAGCAATTTTTTTGAAAAAAAAAAAAAATTAAAATCATTAAGTTTTTATTTCAATAAAAACAAAGTTTGAAAAAAAAATTTTTATTTTGATTAAATAAACTTTTTTAACATGATACTAATATAAATATGTAATAAATAAATTTATATATTGATTAAGATAGGTTTTTTAAATATTTTTGAAATTTTACTATTTAAAAATAATTAAATTTCTCAGATATTTAATTCAATTCAAGATAATCTATAGTGATAAACTATTACAAGTCAGTAAAGAAACAAAATATCATTTCCTAAGTTGCATCTAGAGAAATAGTTTTTTCAATGATGGGCAAGTCAAAAAATCAAAATATCTTATAATATTTTTATACAATATATACAATAAAGACATGCCATGCTGACCTGACTGAGGTTTAATTCAAACTAACTTAATGAACTTATATTTTTAAGTACCGTACGAGTTAGCTGTCATATGAATGGTCCATGCAATATCGTAAATGTTCATTTAATTGTTATATCTGTAGATTATCAAAAAATATGCATCCTGTAAAAAAACGTGGAAGGCCGCCTACAACTGTTGTGAATAAAATTCGTTCAGCTTTTGCCATATGTCCCGTGTCACCCACACACTTTCAAGATTTTTCGAAAACATTTATTCCTCAGAAGCTTTTTCCAGACATTTGGGCTGCACGATCCACAGATCGATGGGAGATTGCACCGTCGAACGATGCTGGCAATGAGGTAATTAACAAATTCGATCATTGCTTTCTTATTAATCTCACCATAATTTACTTGATAAGGTCAAAGATCAATCAAGTATTTCAGCAGAGCCGCTTCGTTTAAAATTAATTGTGCGCGAAGACAAAGCTGGTGTATGTATATAGTGTTGAGTTGATCAGATAACGAATGATTACTCAAATGTCCCTACGCAACAAAGAATTATATAAAACCACCACGGAAAAGAAAACCTATTCCTTTAGATCATAAAGAAGAGTGGAATCTATTAATAGAATTGGATAATGCCTCGAAACCTCTGTCTCCAAAAGCTGTTAGATTAAAGGGGAAATTGCATTTACGGAGGGTAGGCACTTAATGTTTGAGAAAACCTACAATTTTGATGCAGATATTAAAACGCATTTTCTCGTATAAAATTGCAGCTCAAGCGAGGATTAGGTTTGAAGATTTTTGATATCGATACCATTGTTTCCGAACATATGAGATCTTCAATACCATTAGAGATTATGCCGCACGAGGATTTTTTCGAAACTGAAAAACAGGCTAAGGATGTTAAAGAGAATAAAGAAAAAAATATTGACTCCACTAGTCAAATTGAAAATGTAAGTCAATTATGTGATTTTCATTTCGTTTTGTTGATTTTTTATTAATTTCTTGTATTTCACAGTTAATGTCCACTCCATATAAGAACTCTTTTGCATCAAGGTTATATGGTGACATTCGTTCAGCTAATACGCTTACTGCAGAAAATGCCTGGACTAGTCCTTTACAAAGAAAACTAAGGCCATACATTCGTCGAGATTACGAGACCATGCCACCGAAATTGAATTTACTACGTGACATCGTCAAATATGCGCATCGGTATATTAACATCATGTTCAAATGGTTCACGATTTTTAGTTACGATATTATGGTGCTAATTGAATTAATCTCCTACTGGTGCATGCAGGAGTGATCCCAATTGGACACAACCGCCCTCTAGTCCTATTGATTTTTGTTATTTTCAAAAAGAGCACCTGAGTCAAGTTAATGATTTGCTGCAACGATGTTTTTGGCCAGGAATCGATGGTGGGTAAAGAAATGGATGTCCTGATAGATAATACTAAAGAGAAATTAATTCAGTACATCTGCCCTAGTTTCTGAGAATCTCCTTTTTCCGGATTTTAGTGTCGTTGCAATGTATAAGCGATTGATAATTGGGTGCGGGTTTATGACACCAGAGGCCTACATCACATACATCGCTGTAGCACCTGGATGGCAAAAGTCGGGGATAGGGCAGTGAGTATTGTATTGGTTTCAGTATGTGCTATTGGAGTGCATATATTGATTATGATTTATTTATTATGAATAGATTCATGTTATATCACCTGATTCAGGTTAGTCCAAGTACCTAATAAATTATCAACGGCCTGTCGATTATTAATATATATATATATATATATCGTAATAGACGAACATGGGAAAAGATGTTACGCTTCACGTTTCAGCAAATAATCCGGCAATGGTAAATAATACTTCTTTACTAATGAAGTTTTTGGATTTTTATTAAGAATTTTTTTTTCGTAGATTCTTTATCAAAAGTTCGGCTTCAAACCAGAAGAATTTATTGTAAACTTCTATGATAAGTATTTACCTGACGGAAGTTTGGAATGTAAAAATGCATTTTTCGTTAGATTAAGAAGATAGATACTTATGTGTTTCTCATAACCTATTGTTTCTGTACATTTTTTTTTAATTGTATATGGAAGGCTTTCTAAATGTTTAATTCCATTGAATATTAGAAATTATGAAGGAGTGGATGTTTGGTTCTCACTTTATGTATCAAAAGTATCCATCTTAGTAGATATTCGAAAATTATTATGATAGATAATGATAGATATAATGTAATTTATCTTGCAAATATCGTAAAAATACGTCAAAAATGTGAGTCCGAATTATTTAAGATATTTTTTTTTGTTACTCGTATACGCAAGTACAGTGGACTTTGTTAATAATCGACTGATAAATTGTCACGAGACGGTGCCTGACTCAGAATCATATTCCATTTAGAAGAATGTTCACCTATAGTTGAAACGGAATTAAATTTTACTTCTCTCGCACTCATATGAAATTAATAATTATTTTTATGCTTTATTCTACATAGTACATATAAGGTATTAACATTGCGGTGCCAAAATTGATGAGTCTATTGCTTCTGATAACAAAAATATAATAAAATAAGAGAAGTATTAAGATACAGTAATATACCAATGCTCATGATTGTGCTATTTGATCCAGCTTATAATTTGGTTTCTCTGAGCTTTTCAATTCTAGAAGAAAAGTATATTTTCATTATTCTACAATATTGTTTGTTAGGAAATGTCTTATCGATGCATATTGCTTTATTATTATTTTTTTTATCTTTTATGACTTCATTAGCAAGGGATCTTTTGGTTATAATTTCTATCTCTGTTTTAATATGACTGTTATCTATTTATTAGCTTGAGTACTTTTTTGCTTTTTAGTGTTTAGTACTAATGTCAGTACTATTTGTTTCTATAGAAATAATTGTTAAAACTTCAAGTTATAAACTATATTTTTTATTTCAATATATTATTCATGTCTTTGCAATTTAAAGTGATAACTATTCAATATGACTTTTTTTTTAATATTAAGATTGATTAAATTATTTGCATTGAATTCTGTAGTTATACTTGATTTATTATTATTTATATTTATTATTATTTTTTTTTTAACCCATAATCATGCCACTTTGGCATGTCTTTATTGAGATATTGAAAGATACCAAAATATTTTGTAGACTTTTTCACAAAGCGACTAACTCTTATTAGTTAAAGGACTATATTACTTAAAAAATATGAGGAGTTCACTAAGCTAATTTGAACTAAACAAAACTAAATCTAAACTAAATACTCTAAGTCAGATTTACAGGACAATATTATACTCTCCTAGTAGCTTAGTATAGTGCCTCTAAGTCAATCAGGGTTATTGCCAATAGTTTGTTACTATGATTATTCTGAAAAATGATGAATTGCTAAAGTATGGTACTGAAAAAAGAGAAAAAAGAAAATACAATTCAAAGCCTTTCAAAAGGTTCTTGTTCCATTTCACAGTTTCATCTTAAAAGGGGTTTGCCTAATTGGGATATCCTTTAAACTTCATGATGTTTGAGAAATTTAACCATTCCTAAAAATGATTTCAAGAAGAATAATGGAGAAACTTATTCTTCTGCTAATATATGAATTTACTTATTACTATTGGAACCAGAGCCATATTACAGAAAAGTTTGCCTGATCAGGATAAAGAAATCTTTTTCAAGAACTTTGCCTAACCAGAATAGAAACTTGAAAACTTTAGCTTTTGTTCAAGAAAATTTTTTCACCACTTGAAAAACTTAATAAGAAATAAAAATCAGATTTGTTTGCCTACTCATCACTCACTTTTCAGTATTATAATTGTTTTCTGAAGATCAAATATACACAGTTGGAGAAGGCACTTTTTCTAGAACTTTCTTTTCTATATTATCAATGATGTAAAGAGACATGTGAATAGGATTAATAGAAACTTGTTAATATTTCAAAAATAGACATATTTTATATCAGCCAATCACCTTTGATAAGGATTTGTGCTATCCAAAATTCAGGATCAAACTGAGGTAGACAAAATTTTCTAGAAACCATACTCTTTATTTACTATAAAATAATATTTACATATGATATAATTACATGATAAATGTATTGTAATCAAATTTATATTTGACCGGTGTGTCCAAGTGGAATTGCTTTTAAAAGGATAATTCCCAAAGAATTAGAGAAATAGTTTATAATAATTAAAGAAATATTCAAAAAGAGATTTACCAAGAATCCTTTAAACAGTGTCGCACAGTGTTTTACAAGAAATATGGTTCCCTCAGAACCTAAGTTTATTAATAAATCAAGAAAACTAGGACAATTCCTTTAGTCCTAAAATCAAAAGAAGATATCCA